TCCCTTTATTTTTCTAAAAACACTTCTAAAGTTCCTGTCAGTGTGCTCGATAACAAGTCTTGTGGGACTGGAATTTCACTAGCAGTATTTCTGTTGCTTCTAGCAGACCACAGCACAGCTTTCTATTTAATGACTGTAGCTCCACAGTTTTTGCTAGTGGCTGAGTTAGTTTTAGCCAGATGTGGCAGGATGGTGCCAGAGGGCCACCATGATGCCCCCTAGTGTCTGTCTTGCCCCGCTTCCTCATCTGCCACACCTTGATGTTGAAAGGTAATGAGGGAAGGCTGTCCTTGGAGGATGCTGAGCCTAGGGCAAGGGTGGGCAATTATTTAGGCTGGAGTTTTGGTGAGCTGTTGAGGGCCAGGGGGGTGGGGATGCTGCCCTGGCTTTGGACCCATTATGACTGTTTACACTGCCTGGCATAGTGGGGATGGGGGGAGAGGTGGGGAGATGCCAGTTGATCCTATCTAGTCCCGGGCCTGTCCATCCCACACCCACCACAAACCGGGATCATGGGGTGGTGAGAGCACAGAACCAGTGCCCATCACAGGGATATGTGGGGAGTGTATTGCAGGGGTGCTCTGGGCCCTGGGCCCTGGCCCCTCGCTCTCATTGCCCTGCAAACCTGTCCCCAGCCCCAGAGCTGCTGGCTCCCAGATGCCACTCCCTGGCTGCCTGTGGCCCCATCCCATCTGCCTGTCTGAGTGCACCCTGCCAATGGGTCTCCCAGGCCACTCTCCAGAGACCCTGATTGCCTACCCACTCTGTCTGGCACCTCTGGTGGTGGGTGCAAGGCAAATGGGCCAGGGTGCACTCTGGAAGGGACACTGGCAGGGCAGCCAGGTGTGGCAGTGGCACCTGGAAGTGTGAGGGTAGACTGAGCCACCACTATGGGCACTGCCAGGAAGCTGAGTCTGGCCACCGTGCTGCCCCCTCCTGACTGCCCAGCCCCATGAACTGCAGCTCCCAGCATATACAGGAGCCACACGCAGGGATAGGGTGGGCTGTGCTCTGCACCAGACGTCACCTCTATTCCTGAGAACAGCAAGACCAGATATATGGGCCATGGCCTGGGCTGCCCCGATGCCTTGGCTGGGCGGGGCCAAAGGGCCCCACCATGGGGCTGGACTGAAGCACTTGGTAGGCTGGATGCAGCTCGTGGGCTGTATTTTGTTCACCCCTGGCTTAGGGTACTCTTTCTCTCTCTGTGTCTCTGTGCTAATTTCCTCAGGCCCTACTTGCCTTAAGGGCTAATTTTGTGGTCTCCTTCTGCCCCTACAGGCATGCCCATGCCTTGCAGATGTTATTCTGTCCACACTGCTGTCCTTTTGTAGCGGCCTCAGCCTTCTTGGTTTAGCCCCCCCACCTTTACTCTGGCAGCAGGCCTCCAGACTTGGCTTACTGATTCAGACCCAGCTCCCAGCCTCATCCCTCTGTATCGTTGGACTCTGGGCCCCTTGGCCCTGTCTTGCACCTTGTCCCAACCCCCTGAGCATTTGATTTGGGGCAAGGCTGCTCTCGGTTCAGCTCAGCCCCCCAGCATCCCTGACCCAGGGCAAGGCTGCTGTTGGTTCCAGCCCAGCCTCCCCTGGTGTCCCTGACCCTAGGACAACGCTTTATGCTGGGTGCCCATGCAGCACTGCTGTGGCCTCCTCTTCACCACTTAAAACGGGTGGACTGGATGTGGCTGTAATTTTAAATCACAACGTAAATATAAGCCACTGCTTCCCAACTTAAAATCTAGCCAGCTCTGGGTCATTACCTAACTGTGGGCCATAAGCTTCCCTGAGCTCTCTCCTGACATCTCCCAGAAGTAACCTGCCAGTCTCTCTGCTGCAGGCACTCAAAAGTTCCTCTCCCTGCAGCATGCAGGGCCAGACTGCCAGCTCTGGCTCAGGCCCTGGAAGCCATGCCCCCTTTGTCATGTGCCTTCCCTAGCTCAGTACATGGATTTTTCCCTCTTAATTAAGGAGCAGCCTACCCTCCTGCAGCTGCAGTCCTTTTAAGCTGACTTAGGTTGCTACACCCTTTTAAAGTTGCAGGAACTTCTGGTTCCCTGTTAGTCTGCTCTCCTCCCCTTCCGTTATACAGGAGTAACAGGGTTTGGGTCCCTTGTTACACCAGACAGTAAAGCACATACGTTTTGAAAGACTCTGTGGCAGACTAGTACTAGAGGGCCACTTTTGTATATGCTTTCCACCTTTTCACATTTCGGAGTAGTTCACGCTTGATCTTTCCAGGAAACAACCTGTATTTAATCCACCAAAACTGATCCTTTTAGGTAGGATCCAGGTACTAATATTATATAAATGAGCTGGTTATTTTATAGGCTAACCTTACCCTTTTTTTAATCTTGTTTGACACTTGCTGTTTCTTTCAAATGTTCAGGCCTACCAGAAGGGAGCCAGCCCTAAATATTGCATTCTTCCTGTAGGAGGCAAAGTATTGACCTCAGAAGAAGATTACAATTTACTGTCTGAAAAACATTTTCCAGATCCTCTTGGTAAGCATTATCGAAACTGAAATGCCAAACCTCAAGTTTTTTTTTCCCATTAAGTGCTCTTTTTTGCTGATGTTGAGGCTAGATTTTGAACAAGGTAACAGAAGATTTATAGAATAATAGAATAGTGGGGCTGAAAAGGGAAGGATCATCCCTATTCATGCCATCTCATTCATATCCTTGTCAAATCTAAAACTGCACAATCAGTGCTATCATACAGCTATAAGGTATAGCACTGTAATATGCCAGAGATAAAGCAGGGGGGCAATGGCAGTCAATGTCCTGGTGCTGCAAGGGTTGTTAAAATACTCGAGAGATCCAAGGAAGAGGGCAAAGCCAAAGTAAGGCACACCCCCACCACAGTCCATACCAATTTGACCATGTGGTCCAATTCCTTCCTGACCCCAAATGTGACTATCAGTCTGACTGAGCAGAGGGGCAAGACCTCCTTGGCAGGAACCTTCAGGGTTAGTGCCAGCAGGAGCATTGATGCAACTCAGTCAAAATCCCCAGCTTCCGTTTCAGTTGATACTTAATGTTATTACAGTAGACAAAAAAGAAAAAGAAATCCCTGCCATGTGTAGTAACAGAAAAGGGGGAAGATTCCTTCCTGGCCTCATGTGGCAACCAGCAAATCCTGGCTCCAGAATGGCTGCATGCTACATGCCACTAATTGACATCTAGATAAGTACTGGATACTTCTTTTTGTACTGTCACTACATAATGATATTGTGAGCTCCACAGAGCAAACTCAGAAACAGGCTAGGATACAAAGCACCACCCTCTCAGTGCATTTTAAATATGCATATATTTCAGTACGTTGGGCACTGAAATACCCAAACTTGCATGGGTTTTTTGAGTGCATTTGATTCTGTATCTGTGATACAGATAGCAGGGAAGTTGTTATATGTGGAGATAACAGCTCCAAACTACTTTGTGTAATTTAGGCACCACAATGATTATTCCCATCCTGATTCCTCAAAGATGAGAGGTTCCAGATTGAAGGAAGCCAGATCTCCAGATGCTTCTGAAGGAGCACTGTCAGTACCAATTCCTTCTCAGCTACTGGAATGCCCCCCACCGAAACCTTGTTTTGTCAGAAATAGCATTCCTCAACCATTTGCTTGCCTGCCCCTAGAACACCTGCTACTGGAGGGGACGTTACACCTGCTGTAGGCCGTTTAGGGATTCCCCTGTGCAAAGACTTCTTAGTTAACTTCTAATGCAGCTTTTTCCCCTTTGTACCACACTGAAGATTTCCCCTCACAAGTTTAATCGTTTTGCTCCAAGCATGATTGATAAAGGGACTGATTGTAACTGGAGTTGCCAGAAGCACATTGCAGAGCATTGAGACAATAACTTGTAATCTCCTTAACTATGAATGGAGTTTCACATGTACACTGTAAGCTGGTTCAGAGAGAAACACAAACTGACATTTTATAGGACTTTGAACCTCCTTTGCTTTCTATTCCAGACTGTGGAAGTTCATAGAGCTTCCAGAAAGTAGCCTGTCGGCTCAAATGGAAAGGAAACTGGATGAGGGAATACATGCTGTTCCTTTTAGCTAAAATATAATTGTTTAGTACATATGTGGAGATGAGTACTTCCCTTGTTTAACTTGTTATTTTTACCATAAAGACTCTGCTGCTTATCTTCTATAATTCATCAAAAAGCAATGATTCTTGCAGGTGCCTCATTTTTGCCTAGCTAAGGGCTGCATTGACAATTTACCCAGTTTTCAGACTATATCTGACTTAATACAAGAAGTGGTGGAGTGCCATCATGCTGCTCTAATTTGGAGGTACTCCGTGCAGAGAGAGGTATGAGTGCCAAGTGCACAATGCCACATCTCGGTCTGAGTGGTTGTTTGTAGGCTTGGCAGGATTTGATTTTTATCGGTAAATGCCTATAAAGGTCAATATCACCTCATGCTCAGACCAACAAAAAATTTCCATTGTTAATAATCAAAATTTATAGAAAGGGGACATCAGGAAAATGATGGCTGATGGAGTATATGATGACGCAGGGAGCAGAACTGTACTGACTAGTTTGGACTGCAAACTCCCAGAAACCCCAGGGGACTGGGAACAAAGGAAGAGGAAGTGGCAAAGTGGATGAGGGACCTGAGACTGAGCGCAGCTCTGCCACTCAGCTGGCAGCAGTTCTACACCCCTCCACACCCCTAATTTTGCCCAGTCCTGAAAATTTAAAAATGGAAATAAGTGCTTAAAAATAAACATCAATATTATCAGTCAGAATTATTAAAAAATAAAAAATCAAATTCTCCCAACCCTAGTTGTTTGCTTGGGCTGGGTGAACACTGCATCCTGACCACCTGTACTTTCCCTGAACCAAGCTTGCCTTGAAGAATTGTTATTTGACTAACCCAAATGTATTTATTTTGTCTACTGCTTTAACAACGAGGTACATTTCTGTTTGTTACAGTGTGGAAAAGACCCCAAACTTACAAGTTTTAAAGTGTGTGTGTGTGTGTATGTGTGTGTGTGTGTATGTGTGTGTATATAATATTTTTTTTTTTTTTAGCTTCTAATGAGAAGGAGCCTCCCTTTGTTCAGCTGCCAAAAGAGTTTCCAGTTTTCCTGTGGCAGGCCTATCTCAGACACAGCTACTACTGTTTTGAGGATCCAGATGCTCAGAAACAATTCAGTGCAGTATTGAATGACTGTGTCAGACACTTAAACCATGGTAAGCACAACTAGGACTTCCTGCTCTGCTCCTGTTACCTGACATTAACCTCAACTAGCTTGGTATAAGAATCATCTTCAGGGAAGAGAAAATATTATGGGAGTTTCTTTCTTTTGGGCAGGTTCTTTCTTTTTAAATGCCTTAAGCTTTTTTCTTGCCATGCTATCGCTATATTTGTTTAAAACTAAACATGGTCTACGAGCCAATAACTTTTCATTAGGAATGTGCCTGGTTATTCAACATGGTTTTGATAAGTTGTAGGACGTTTGGGTGCAAAGCACGTTCAGCAATTTTACTGGTGCTCCCTTCCCTCATGGTAGTGTAAAACATACGTCTTAATGTTAAAACCATATGTGGCGATTGTCCTCCTACAGTATTATACAAAGATGTTCTCTTGGACATACAATGTTTTTTGGCAGCCAGGGAATCAAGGTGAGAATCTGACATACTGCTTGCAGATGACCCAATATTATTTCTGCCATATTTGACCAAAAACTTTACAACATGTATACATCAGTGACAGAATTGAAGTTTGTTTTTTTTGGGTGAAACTCTCCATTGTACAGATAGCAGCAGAGACTATCCTAGCAGGGTGCAGGGCCTGGTGCAAATCAGCCTGTGTGGGGCCTGGACGCAAAGAAGCCAGCAGCGGTGGTGGTGGGGGCGGAGGCGGCAAGTGGCCAGGCCCAAAGCCGGTGGTGTCACCAGCACAAGGCAGGCCCTGCAGGAGGGGCCGGGGCCACTCCGCGGGGCCCTGCAGAGTGCGGGGCCTGGGGCAGTCACCCTGATGTGCGCCCCCCTCGGGAGGGCCCTGGATACCAGTATAGCAGCACGACAGCTGTGGCCCAGTTAAACACTTCATATAGGTTTTGAGTAGAGCGTACGCTTTATTTTTGGCTGTTTGCACAAGACTGAATTTCACTTTGACTTTGCACCAGATTTATAAAAACGCCCAAGCTCACTATGCTTTCATTTTGATAAAGTATATGCCTAGTTACTATTTATAACTCTTCAGCTTTTGACAACAGCTATGAACCAGTGCTGTGCAAAATCTAAATGTACTTAAGATCAGAAACAACTCAAAAATACCTCTGTGGTAACAGATCTTAAGTGTACACACTTGAATAATGAATATTTGTTAAGTTTCCATCGCATAAACGCCACTTAAAGATACTGTATTAGTATATTTACTTCATTATGGGTGTCTTCATGAAAACTAAGCATATTCAATGTTAATGGTCCAAATTGCTCCAGCTTACAGAAATACACATATTCTGTTTATTTTGGCTATTACTGCTAAATAGAGCACATTTACCCTTAAGAAATGCTTCCAAACTCCAGGGCAGAGGTTCCCATTGCCTTATGTAACCAGAGCTGCTTGGTAATTTTTCATCCAAATGTATTAAGCAAAATAATAATAATAATAATGTGTATATTGATAACTTCCCTTTTCCAAAAAAAATGTTGAAAAAAGTTTTGAATGTTTCTGAAACATCCTATATTGAAACTTTTTTAATAGAAAATGACTTCTTGCTTTAAAAATTAAGCTGAAATGGAAATGGAATGACCTAAACTGAATTTTTGTTTATTTGTGAAGATTTTCAAGATTTTGCCTGATTTATTATGGAAAATTTTTTCTGAAAGCTTGAAAATTCTCTCAGGGCAGGGGAAGAAGCTCCCCACCCAGCTTTACTTCTAACAAGTGAGAAGTCAGTAACACAGTGAGACATTACAGGAATGGTGTCACACTGACCCTCATGAACTGAACACCTACCTGCAGCTGGTGAACTAACTCAACCTGCATTTACATCCATGGGAATTGGGAGTGATCAGCACCTCCCAACATCTCGTGTTTAATCTCTTCTAGTGTTTTGGCCAGTTGTACTTAGAACCTGCATATAGCAAAATGAATGTAGAAGGTAAGTAAGAGAGTTATCCCTTTGGCTTCCCCCAAAACATGAGTCACCCCTGCTGGTTCTAGGACCAGTGACCAGACCCAAAGAACACCCTCTAATACCCAATATTACAAACTAAAGATAAATATTTGTGAAATCAAAAGGGAAAAAATTGCTGTAGTTAAAAGAGGATCAGCTGATGTTACTGAGTGTTTCTTTTATTGTTGCGAGCAGGTGATTTGATCTCAGTTTATACCGATTAGTATCTACAGATTTGAACAAGGGGAATGAATGCCTTTCATTTAGCAGCAAAAGACCTCAGTCCTCCTTATGAATTGGGGCAATGCATGTCATCTTGTGTTTCCAGCTGATTTTCCAATTTACACAACTGTCTGCAGGGGTGAACTCAAGGTGGGCTGCAGGCAGGTGCAACCTGTAGCCACATGAGGCCATGAACATTGCTAGGATCCATGGCCCCATCTACATGTTACACTTAAGCCATGCTTAATGAGTTAATCATGCGTTAAGTTGTGACCCAGCTACATGTTTAACCACTTAATGGCATGATAAAACAAGCAATCTATATAATGTTAAATATGTAATAACTTTGTAGCTTGTTCTAATCATGTCATTAATTGAATATGTAGCTAAGTGCTCCACTGTGGATGGGAGCCCCATCAACTGGGGGGCTCCCAGCCACAGGGGTGCACCATATACTGCCAGCCCCGCAGCTGATGAGACTCATAATGGGTGGTAGTGTTCCTGGCACTGCCCCCCTGTGAGCCTTGTCAACTGTGGGGCTTATAGTAGGGAGAAGGTGTGGGTGGGAGGAAGCTCCAGGACTGTTGTTGGCTGTGGGGCTTGCAGTAGGGAGAAGACTGCTGCTGCGGTAAATCATGTCAGCTGTGGGGCTTGCAGCAGTGTTTTTTCTCACCGCCCCCGCTGAGAGTCCTGCAGCTGATGAGGCTTGCAGCAGCAGTCACATTACTGGTGCTGCTCCTACTGCAAGCCCCATAGCTGACATCTGCTGTGGGACTGGCAGCTGTCCCCGTAGCTGACATCTGCTGTGGGACTCGCAGGATTATGATCCTGGGCTCCCGCTGCAGTTGTGTTAAGGCACTGTGGGATCTAATGCATGGTACCACATTGGAGCCTCTTGCCCTGCATGTGTTGCTTGGCAGGCAGCACAATTGTGTGGATTGCACATTGGATCCTATTACACCTTAACCTGTTTGTGTAAAGGGCCCTATGTCCCAGCACTAAATGGATGACAACATGCACCCTTTCAAAGCCCAGTCCACCTTCTTTCTGCTCCTTCCTTGCTGATATGCAGGCTTTGTGCCAAAGTTAGCAAGTCACTAGTCAGAGATCTTCCCTTACAGGCTCTTCTCTCTCCTATCCTGCACAAATTAGGGAAAGCTGTATTAGTGTAAACGACACTTTCCTACCCCCAGGATCTGTACCAGGTTAGATTTGCTAGTGGCTAAAATCCCAGCATCCCCAAGACCTCAGTGACAGAGAGCAAGAGGGCTCTTCCAAATTAAGGCCAGATTTACATATGTTAAAAGCCTCAGCCTAGGGAGGAACACACATGCACTTGGCACTTTCAAGTATATTGAAACTATAAAGCTTCAATAAGTATTCCATATATAGCTGCCAGCTGAACCCAATTTCCCACAACATTCTTAAAGGGAAAGTTTCCCCTTGTGGTTTATCATTCTGATTAGTCTGCTCTTTTAGCTGTGATCATACAGTATGAAAGTGCTTCAGACTAACAAAACAATTCCTTTGTTCTGCAGCGAGTTACAGAATTCACTGGGGTGGGGGGAAGGGGAGAATGCAGTCATGTTTTCCTGGCACTCTGTAAGCTGTCCACACCTTGGTCCTTTTTGTCAAGTTTTGGATTTTTGTTGGGCAAATATAACAGCTTTGACAGGACTTCTGGCAGCCTCTAGTTTTAAGTAAAGTTCATTACTTCACTCTAGGGGACAATTCTGCACTGGCAGAAGATGGGCCTAAATCATCTAATGAGTCTTTTCTTCTTCTAATGTCAGTTATTCTGTGCTTTATGATATTTCATACAGATCAGCTGTTGCTGGCTTGTGCATCTGTTCCAGGATATTTTCTCTTTCCTCTTTTCTGTAACTAGATTTTAGCTGATGCAAGATTTTTAAGAAACAGGAGGGTACTTTTATTAAGAACATTATCTAGAATATTTCCACTGAAAAAAATCATTTATTTTTAAGGTTGCTAACAGCAAAACTAGAATAAGACATATTACATCACTAAAAATACTTAGCCATTGAAAGTCAAGGAAACAAAAGATAATATTAAGCAAGTCCAATAGTCTTATGGCCAGTTTTTACAAACACTCTGTTAATAGACTACTTCTTTCCAACCAGCATTCAAAAAAACCTTAACTCTGCCCATTGAATTATTAATCGTTTATACTTTTTCTCTTAACTGTGTGTAAAGTATTGATATGTTTACTTTTATTTATGTACAAGGTTTATAGAATGTATGCTTTTGCAGAACCTGATGTAACCATAAAATCTAAAATTTCAGCACTTCAAAACTACTTGAATGGCCTATAAACAATGTTCTCTACAGATCAAAGTAATTCCAGATACCATAACTAGGCAAATGTCATAAATCACAAGGTTAGTGTACAAACATAGCTCAATCTTAGCTTCTATGCCAGGTCACAAAACTACTTTACATGAAAACTGCAACCGTCAGTGTTGTACCCAACAATCACACTCAGTATACGGAACAAATGCATGCATAGTATTAGTTATACAAGCAATGGTGGGTGAAACACATTTCCAGATCTCTGCTTTATAAATGAAAATATGCTGATTTCTGTTAATGTTGTAGGTATATTTTAGCTATTACACTGGAAGTTGTAGGCACAGAATTAAAGTTATTTGGATACTGGTTAGTGATTCTTTTTCATGCGTGTTTGGTATATATGAAAATTGCTTGTTAAAGCTGGTGCCCTGGTTGTTTATATAACCATAATTGTCATCCTCTTTAGTTTTTAACTTATAGACTATTAGTAATTTATATACTATTATGTTTTCTTTTGGCAGTTTGTGTATCGGCCTTAAGGGTAGGTG